TCAGCATTCTGTTTGTGCTTTTACTGCATTATTTTTTGTTAGTCAATTTTTATTTCCTGTACAATTCAATAAGTTCCGATTTTCAACTTGCATCAATGCTTGTTCTTGGCTGTCTTTTACATAATCAGTCAGTGCATGCTTTTCTTCCTTAACATTTTATTTGACTTGTAGTAAACCTTTGCTTGCATTTCCATGGGGCAAATATAATCTATTAATATCGCCACAGGGATGTAATGAATGACTAGCCTTCTTTTTTCTTTTTTCTTTTTCAAGTCCAAACTGTCCAGTTCGGTTTGTGTTCAGTTAATAATTCCACTGGTGTATCATATCACAGGTATCGCCAGGTGTTTCGCCAATTGTTTCTTTTAACAATTCTCTCACTCTTCCAATGCATTCATCAATACTTGTCCATGCTTGATGCTACCTAACTACATATTATAAAGTAATACTACATAGATCAACACCTTTCAGCATATTCTCCTTCTTTTTGGATGATGAACTGCAATTATTGTTCTTTTGACAATAGAAATCCAACTATCTTACCATCCATTTCTATCTTGAAAACCCAATAAACTATAACTTATTATTTGTAACATAATATTTGCATAATTATTATTTAATTTGTACTAAATGCTGTTGGATGATAAATTCAACGCTTATTTGAAAATATGCTTTTCTTTTCAGGAAAAGACACTTGTTTTTATCATGCGCAGACATTCTATATGGTAATCCATTCCATGAAAAGAATGTATGGCTGCATTTGAAATTTTTGGTTGCAATTCAAAGCACTTAGCTGGGAGTTGTTCCCATGTCCTTTTGGAGGTACTACTTTTCAAGAAAACATGTGTTCCGTGTCAGTGTTGTGCTGTTGCAGATGTTTGCAAAATAGCTGGAGAAAATGTGACAAAGGAGGTGGGAAATTGGGGTGAGAAAGAGCGGAGGTTATATGGCTCTTTCGCCTGGGGCATCTTGAAACCTCAAAATGACCCAAAATCACCTCTGCTTACTTTAATAGGTATCATTAATCAATGGTTCCACCCCATGAGAGGCAGATGGAGATAAAAGCTAGCCAGGAACAGTCATAAAATGCTCTTCAAAATGCTTAAGATCTAAATTCCTTTGAAGCTTTCTCCTAGATTTTCTACATTTGGCTTGTGTTGTTTTTTTTTTACTGACAGTTGTTGCTTTCTTTCCTTAAAAGTTACCTTCTTGCATATATTTATCACAATGCCCAAATGCATGTTTATTCTACATTGTGAATCACTAAAGATAAGTGAAATAAACAGAGTCATTAAAACACAAACCAAAGGATTGCAGATGAAATCTGTTCCAGTGTTTCTTTGGGTTCACAAGTTCATAATTCATCAAAGTTAACATCAGGAAAATGTTTGTTACAGTACAAGGTTTAGTTAGAAAAGGCTTATGTTTGCTATTTGTAACAGTTTTATTGGAAAACATCTTCAAGTTCCTATGAACTTGCAGTTACAGCAAGAGTTTGTTTAAACGTTGATTTTCATACATATGTTGAATGGATCCCTGCCCAGATGAGACACTAAAGTTAGAGCAACGACTGATGTAAACTATGCAAGATAAAGCAGCATCTATAAACTTGGCACGGATCAAACAAACTTATGTTAGACAAATCTGGCCATATTGTCTAATATTAATAACAGAACCTTCTGACACTTTAGAGCCTAACACTTTATTATGACACTAGCTTGTGTGGATTGTATGGCAAATGGCAAACTAAGGTCTGTCTCCCTGTCTAATCTTATATTATCTATCTAGAGAAAGGGTTAGGATATCTATCAGAAAACAGCTTAGGAAGTTTCAAAAATAGACACTAATAAATTATAAAATAAATAATTTCAATCCATTTAATCCACCACGAATTTTCTGGGCTAATTACAGCAAAAGCAAGATATCAGCAAAGCCACAAACGAGGGTTCAATTTTGGAAGACATAGAAAAATGCCCAATACCTTCTTCCCTGCATGTTAAATGAAAGGTTACGTTTTGTTACAATGCTTCTGGATTTTCTATATGTAATGCAATGTATGAAGCTGTGTTTTTCTATACCTGTGATGCCAAACCTATGGCTCTATAATCCTAGGTCCCCCCTGCGGGCATGGGAGGCCTTGCCCTAGTTCAGCTCCACTGTGCATGTGTGCGTCCCTCCCACCGACCAGCTGGTTTTTGGGTCTCTGCTGTGCATGCACGGGTGGGTGGGGCACGGGGTTGCACGCACATTGCATTGTGGGTGTGTCTGCGAGCGCGCTTTCAGCACTCGGCACCAAAAAGGTTAGCCATCACTGTTCTATACCATTTAATTGACAATTTCTCCAAACAGCTCTAATACAACAGAGTTTTCTTTTGTTTTGAGGCTCTACCACCCAAGATCCTTTCTTAAAAACTCATTCAAACCACATAGATTATTTCTAGCTCAGAGATATCACTTCTGATCCTAATCCAACTGTGGAGATTCTTTTAGCAACTACGGCAAGAAAAGTCATAAAATGGGGCAAAACTCACTTAACAAATGTCTCTCTTAACAACAGAAATTCGGGGCTGAACTGTGGTTCATAAATCGAGGACTACCTGTATATCCAAGCTGCCACGAGCAGATGCAGTCAAATTCAGGAAATCTTTGTTATTTGAAGAAGCTCTGAGACACAGCACTCCCCCGTGCATGAAATCTCAGGATAAAAAAAAAATGAGTAAGACGCTTGACGTGTGCTGAAATGTATGATTCACGTTTCACACATCATCCTTTCCAAATATGTTGGGAGTTTGTTACTTCTGTCATTGTCAGCAAACTGAGGTATAAGACATTATGCTGGTATCCATCTATACACTCTCTTTGGCCTGTTTCTTTATGTTGTGGGAAGTTATCATCCAGGCCTCTCCCGAAAAATGAAATATCCTAGGAAATATTGAAAAGGCAGAATATTTCTCTGGATGTGAGGGGAAAGAGACATGTTTTGAAAGACAGAATAGTTGCCTGTAGCTTCCTGCCCATCCCCACTGTTAATAGGCCATTAANAACTTAATCTTTGTGATAATACATGCAAGAAGACCGGACCCAAATCTCACTATCCCAGGACACTTTCAATTTCTATGGAACAGTAGAAATGAGCCAATATTAACAACAGGCAAATGCTGTCTATCACTCTGTGTGTATGTGTGTCAGTGAAAGTGAAAAAGAAGCCAATTAAGCTACCCAGTGCAAATCATGTTTTAATTACCAGGCTCCATTATGCAGTCTCAACCAGCTTCCAAATATCTAAACGTTTCTGAACAGTGGGACAGTTGGGATTGGCACTTTAATGATATCTTCAATGGTTCCTAAATATACTTTTCCCAAAAATAAAATTGCAGGCATATATACCGAGCTAATGGTAGCACTGTGTGCAATATGCAACCATGAGCTACTTTGCTGGTTTATTTGTTTTCGAGTTCTTGGTTTTTAGGAAGCACATGAGCTCAATGGGGTTCTTCCATGAAACATTCGCAGACCCCTGACAGAGCTGTGAATTTTGCAAGTCAAAAATCTCTCTCAAACCTGCAAGAGGAATTCAGCAGCATCAGACCCAGACGTAGAGATGCTTCCTTCTCCTGTATCCTCCCTCTGTTCTTGTTATACTTCTCAGTTTATAAAGACAGGTGTGACAGAATGAGTGTGAGTCAGCTCCCAAAGCGAGAAGAACTGTATCCAATTCTAACCTGCTTCTTAGAAACAGTGCTGTTAATAAAGCTAGAAAAAGGGAGGGGGAGGTAATTACCTGATCCCTGCATTGGATATATTCTGCAGCACATTCCCTGGGCACCTGCATGCATCTGATAAACCAGAAATAACAACATGGTGCCGTCTAGACATTTTTGTCTAAAACTCTCCTTATCTGTTCCTCCTGGCAATGTTGATTGGAACTGGCTGGAGCTAAAAGCTCAAGTATCTGAAAACCATCAACTGCTTTTGTCTGTTTAAGTTGCATTTAAGCTTGGTTGTTTTCTTGCAGATGATTCATTACCCAAACTAAACAACGTCATCAGTGCTGAAGTTATCTTAGTTTGGTCACCATCACTTAAACATGAGCCAGCAGTGTGTTGCAGCAATCAAAAATGCTAATACAATCTTTGGTGGTTTTCACAGTGGCATAGAAACAAAATCACATGAAGTATTACTATCGCTTTACAAAGCCATAGTAAGGCCACACCTGGAATACTACATCCAGTTTTGGTCACCATGTTAGAAAAAAGATGTTGAGACTTTGGGAAAAGTGCAAAGAAGAGCAACTAAGATGATTAAAGGCCTGGAGACAAAAACATATGAAGAATGCTTACAAGAATTGGGAAAGAAGATGTGACATGACAGCAGTATTCCAGTATTTGAGGGGCTGCCACAAAGAAGAGGGGGTCAACTTATTTTCCAATGCACCAGAAGGCAAGNTGGAGTTCTAAAGACGGTACTCACTACTAGAGATGGGTGACAAGATAGAAGATCTCATTCATCTCCATCCTCTTGAGGCTCTTGGCTCTTTTGACATGATTTTAGCAGTTAACATTAGTTTGTTTTAATCGTTTAATTATTTTTCACCCATTTTGATAAATTGTAAGCTGTCCAAGAGTCGGTTTGTAGGGAAGATGAGTGGCATCAAAAATTAATAAATAAAATCATAAAAATAAATATATAATTGGAGATATATATATAAAAATTGCCCTGTAAACAGTTACCATAACTGTTTTTTAATCTTACCCTTTTGCTAATTGATAATTCAAACAGCAAACACTGTATGCAGCATTGTAACTTTCATTTTTGAACTGATGAAAGGAATTTAATTTTCCACTTTGTTCATGAGTTCTGACTAGGCCATAATGAATCTATTGTTTGATGTTTTGACTGCTGGCTAGTCATATTCGTTTCATTGAAGTCCAGGTAAAATACACAAATAAATTAATATGATAGTGAATAAGGGCTAATATAGGCTTGCAGATTTTATCCAAGTAATTCCTATTTTGACTGATTGCCTTGCTTTAGTGAATTAGAAATTGGAAGGGGATAACTTCCTTATTTCCCAATGCTTTCCCGCAGTACATAATTTTTCTCCACCTTAGCCAATCCAAAATTGATTTGGTAAATCAACTGGAAGACACAGACTAAGAGAAATACTAAAAGCTTAAGAGTTTAAATTTTAAAATACCACAAAAAATTGTCTGTACCATTTATTAAGCTACAAAGAATGCACTGATAGTCCTGGTTTCATTTTTGACCATTCTGTACATCATAATTCCTAGAATTTAACTAGACATAAGAAAGTAAATTGAAGTTACCATAAAAGCTATTGAAAAATGAAGGAATACTATAAGTATTTATCCTACTTAGGCATTAATGTTTGCTTGCTAAAAACACATTACAATATAAACTGTCACATTTGTTTAAGTATTTGAAGAAAACTATTTGGAATGAGACAGAAATAAAATATATATTTCAATGTTTGCTAGGGGAAAAATGCAGCAATCAAGTTTATGACTCTTAAGGGCATGATTAAATAAGTCAGTTTGACTAGAATAATTCTTGAGAACATTAGGAGGAATAATAGTCCATACATACCTCGGTTTTTCATTAGTGATGAGAATTTTTACTTTGTCCAGAGCCTTTTTAGCTCCTGTAGCAGATACCAACTTATTATGAACAGGACTAGAATGAGGGCTGGAAATGTACACTTTTTTCCCTGAACTGATAGGCGCTTTAGAAGGGGAGAAGTCTGAAATAAACACTATTCCCTCACTTGTAAGCACTGCGTGAAGAAAAAAATAATAGTAGTAAATACACAAAATAGTGAAATCATATAATTTCATGGTTACTACCATGTTTTCCCCAAAATACGACCTGTCCTGAAATTAACACAAAAATATAAGCCCACCCCCGAAAATAAGCCCCTT